AAACAATATGTAATCCAGCACCAATTGTGCCTTTTATTACATCCAACAAATCAGTATCAACTAGACTTTCTCTAGTATCACAAAAATCTGATATTTCTCTTTTATTTGCTAACTTTCTGGTTTTATATACTATCTTGCATGTACTAGTTTGAAAAATACTATTATGCATAACAAGATACTGATTAAAGAAGGACAAGATATTTGTTTTCAGTCCAGAGTCGCTTAGGCTGTTTTAATTGTGGTCCAGTCTATAACTGTCATTTTTTTTTTTGCTGCATAAATCTTACTAAAAATTTGTTCATTTTTCATTTGATTACACACCCTTTTAAAGTTGTGGAATACTGCTTAATTAAATCATGAAAAGTAAGTTCATTCTTGTGAAATAACAAATTACATCAGTATATCCTTGTTGTACAAAGAGGAACTGAGTGGAATCAAGAATAACTTGCAATCATGCACCTTGTTAAACTTTCCAAACTGTGCAGTTTGAGTGTGTTGAACGACAACGATGAGACACACATTTTCCCCTTCATATACTTTTCCTTTCAATAGCGATTGACAATATTTGAGTGTGTTGAACGACAACGATGAGACACACATTTTCCCCTTCATATACTTTTCCTTTCAATAGCGATTGACAATATTTGAGAATAACTGTTTGAGTTATTGTAACCATAAGAAAAAGACAATTTTAGGTGAAATTCTACGAATATTTTGAAAAATAAATGAGCAAATCATACCATAATTGAATTGGGCAAGATCTACGTTTAAAAATGATCGGATGAAAATTGCATGAGTAGTAAACACAAGGAACAGAGTTACGGTAATGACCAGGATGACAATGCTGACAAGACAATCATCCTTCATTAACATTACAGGCAAACTAAAAAACACTTTTTTTTACCTCATGGTTTTATTTATTCCTAGAATAAATTTCATGACCATTTTTTTCAACATCTTGCCACATTTTCCCATTCATTTTGGCTTTTCTATGGAGACTTTAGCAGGTGATGTGTTGTAAATCAGTTTTTCTCTGAAAAACACAATTTATATCCTTGTATATGTATTGCTCAACATACTTAGTCCAAGTATTATTCCAAGTTACTTTAGAGGGTCAACAGTGAATAGTTATTCATTTTTTCAGGTAAAATCCAGTTAATTAGGCTTGTGTGAAAAGGTAATATTAGAATTCATTGTCTTGCTGCACAATTCATGAATTATAAACTCAGTTGAGTGTGGTCAGATATCAAAATTATGTAGTTAACTTGTGAATACAGTACTGCCATATTAATTTACAATTTGATTGCAAGAGATGAAATTAAATCTTCTAGTATCCTTATAATACAGTCAGACATTGAGCAATCTCACAAATCATGAGAGCGCCCTCACACCAACAAATCTGGACATTTATTGATTAAAATAATGCACATACTTGTTTTGAGCATGTTGGATTTTATTTCCATCTTTCATAAAAAAAATGTATAAATTTTATAAATTCCAGTGCATATACTTCAATCTAAAAGACAAATAATTTCTATACAACTTCTATAAAAAAAGACTTATGTTAAAAAAAAAGACTTGTATAACAAGTGATACATCATGTTAATAAAAATAAACTGCCTCTGTGCAAAACTCACTGTGCCAGCAGTGTAGCATATAACGCATAGATACAAACTGGATTGCAGTTTCTTCATAATAGGGAAATATTAAAATTTTAAGCACAGCTCTGGAAATGTATTATTTGAAAATAATCTGGTGCTGAGTTTTGTAGACAATTTGTACATAGCATTCATACTGAAGTTACACGAGTGGGATGTACCGTACAACCATGTCAAATTCAAACACATTATTCATAGTGGGATGTAGCGTACAACCATGTCAAATTCAAACACATTATTCATAGTGGGATGTAGCGTACAACCATGTCAAATTCAAACACATTATTCATAGTGGGATGTAGCGTACAACCATGTCAAATTCAAACACATTATTCAATGAAATAGCAATTATACATCCATGTAAAAGTTTGTATATAAATTTTTATTTCCTGCATCATTTGCAATTTGTTAAAAATATTTATTAAGTTGAATGTCCTTGAAAAATCCTTCAAATTTCCCCAAATTCTATTCTGTCCTTGCTATGACAGCTTTCTTTCGATAGCTTCCCATGCTATTGTGGATGGCACTTACTGATACAAGGCCAGTGAACTGCTTTGACTACAATGCAATGAATCAAGACCACAACAAGTAAAGGATTACTGCAAGTAGCAATTATCGATAATCAATGTCTAAGATATGTATGAAATACATCATTGAATTCTAATATGAACAGATGTACTGTGTAGGGAGATTTGTAGTAGAGCATGCAAGGAGGTTGTTGCCATGGGAACTCAAGATGGCAAATGAAATCACATCTCATTGAATTCAGTAATACAATAGGACATATATTAAACTTGTACTCAAGGTGATATTTCATATTAGAAATATATTTTCAACAGCAATTGCACAATTAGTATAACTGGGATTCTGTAAACAGTAACATTTTTATTACTCAGATTTTAAGGGCGTTGCTTGTAATATAATTTTGTAAGTCATTTTTTTTAATGCCTTTATTGCCTCATACAATAACTAGTTGCCTGTGACTTAATTTTGTGATATAATAGTGGTTTACAATATCATATTTGCTCTATTAGAAGTGCACATAAACCTAAAATATGAATCTGACCATGCATAGATTTGCCTTTTTCATCTGCATAAACTACATTCATGGAAGACTTTTTGACTCCCGTGTGCGAAGCACAAAAAGGGAGTCTTTGCAGTTAGTGTGTCTGTATGTGTGTGTGTGTGTGTCTGTCTGTTCCACTGATATATCAAGAACCATACATCTGTTTTTGATGAAACTTGGTGCATAGATGCTCTGGGCCAATGCACAGATTTGATTAGGTTTTGGTAAAAATCCATGCATATTAATTACCTAATTTGCATGATAGTTAGCTGATTTTTAGCTGTTCCACTAATATCTTAAAGAACCACTCATTGGATTTTGATGAAACTTGGCACACAGATGCTCCAAACTAATGCGCAGATTTGATTAGTTTTGGGTAAAAATCTGTGCAATATTAATTACCTAATTTGCATAATGATTAATCAATTTTCGGCTTTTCCACTGATATCTCAAGTACTAATCATCACATTTCAATAAAACTTGGTACATAGATGTCATAGGACACTGCACAAACCTGATAGTTTTTAGGGTAATATCAGTATATATTAATTATCTAATTTGCATAATTAATTAATATTTTCAGCTTTTGATATTTCAAGTAGTAATCATCACATTTCAATGACAC